TTTTTTTTTTTTTTTTTTTTTTTTTTTTTTTTGGGTTTGGGCGATTTATTAACTTCATTTTCCAAAAGAGGTTAGCCGTGCCACAAACCCTAAGCTTAGATTATCTCCTTCTCCGTGCAACGACACGCCTCCTCCGACGAGACCTGCTGCCACTACCGCCTCCTACGCGACCATGATCGCACAATTCTTCTTTTCACCCTTTGCACGATTCTTCATTTCTCCCTCTGCGCGACTACTATCTTCGCACGCGATCGTTGCTCCTTCGCACGCCATCCATCGCTGCTCCTCCCCGTGCGACCACTCCTTTTCCCTCTACGTGCAATTTTGCTCCATTCCTTCTCCCTTCGCGTGCCTCTTCCTTCAAGTTTTGTTGTCGTTGTTGCCTCCGATGCGAACACCACAGTTTACGACAATGTCACGGGAGGTAGAATCAAACACCGAGCCACAAGCAGTGTCATCTTCCAATTGCATTAATTCTAAGAGGACTAATGTTGTTTGGAAGCATTGTACACCGGTGAGAGAGAATGATACAAATGAGATTTTTTGTAACTATTGTCGAAAGGTTATGAAAGGAGGTATCACATGGGTGAAACATTTGATTGGAAAGGCTGGTAATGTTACAGCTTGTTTGATGGCTCCTGAAGCTGTCAAGGTTGAGATAAGGGCAACTATGGATTTATGGAATTTGGAAGTTTTGATGCTCGGCTACCTCCCATTGGTGATTTTAGATTGAAGGATATTAGGAAGGGACCTATGGACCTTTACAATCAATTTCAATCTACAACTGCAAAAAGTAGGAAGGACAAGGTGGTGTAAGCGGGCATAAGAGAGCTTTGTGATAAAAAAGCTACAGAAAGGGTGTGCCAATATATAGCACACTTTTGGTACCAAGCTGGCATACCTTTCAACTTGATAAAGTTGGAAAGTTTCCAAAATATGCTTCATGAAATTGGGCATCTTGGGAAGTATTTGAAAGCTCCTTTCTATCATAACATTAGAGTACCACTCCTTCAAAAATAGGTGGAGTACACTAATGAATTAATAAAGCCACTAAAGGATCATTGGGCAAGTTTTGGGTGTTCCTTAATGTCAAATGCTTGGACTGATAGGAAACAAAAAAGCATAATCAATTTTTTGGTGAACTCCTCTTTTGGGACAATGTTCTTAAAGACGGTTGATGCATCTGACTATGTAAAGACCGGTGAAAAGATATTTGAGTTGCTGGATTCCATTGTGGAGGAGATTGGAGAACAAAAGGTTGTCCAAGTTATAACATCAACGGAAGTAATTATGTTCTTCCTGGTAGGTTACTATAGGAAAAAAGACCAAAAATTTATTGGACTCCTTGTGCTGCAAATTGTATAGATTTGATGTTAGAGGACATTGGTAAGCTACCCAATATAAAGAAGACCAATCAGCGAGCTATCTCTCTTGTTGGCTTCATTTATAGCCATTCAAGCACTTTAAGCATGTTGAGGTTCTTTATTGGTGGGAGGGAGTTAGTGAGGCATGCAATCACTCGATTTGTAACATCTTATCTTTCCTTGGAGATGATTCATGCAGAGAAAACTAATCTTCGAAAGATGTTAGTGTTAGAAGAGTGGAATGAAAACAAGCTAGCAAAGGAGGCCAAGGGAAAGGAAGCCACTAAAACTGTCTAGATGCCTAGTTTCTGGAAGAATGTAGTTTTCATTCTGAAAGTGATGGCTCATCTTATGAAAGTGCTTAGGCTACTGGATAGTGAGAAAAAACCAGCCATGAGCTACATATATGAGGCAATGGACAAGGCGAAGGAAACTATTATGAAATCTTTTAAAAATGAAAGAAAATTCAAGGACATGTTTGCAATCATTGATACAAGATGGGTATTCAGCTTCATCGCCCTTTACATGCTGCTGTTCACTTTTTGAACCCATTGTTCTTTTATGCCAACCCACAGATGGAGTTTAATGGTGAGATTATTAGGGGTTTGTATGATTGTATTAATAAATTGTTGGGAGATTTGGAGATGGAGAAGATTGTTCATAAGGAGTTGGCTCACTATAAAGTTGCGAGTGGTATGTTTGGGTCCACAACTGCTATAGCAATGAGGGGTGAAGTTGCATCGGGTAAGAGACAACATTGCAACTTCTGAACTTTTATTCTTTAAGTCATTTGCTCAAGTGTTTGTGTTTAACATATTTTGTTTGCATTTGTAGCTCAATGGTGGCGGGTGGATGGTTTAGATACTCCCTATTTGCAACAACTTGCAATAAGGATCCTTAGCTTGACATGTAGTGTTTCGGGTTATGATCGTGATTGGAGTGTCTTTGAGCAAGTAATTAATTTCCTATTTAAAGTCAACAATCAATGTCTTGCTTATTATTCCTTAAGTAATAAGTTTTTATATTATTGTTTTAGGTTCATACAAAGAGAAGGAATAGACTCGAGCATAAAAGACTACATGACTTGGTATTTGTTAAGTATAATCATGCACTCCATCAAAGATATAACCTTAAGGATGAAATCGATCCAATTAGTCTCAATGGGATTGATGAATGCAATGAGTGTCTAATTGGAGAGATGGATGGAGAAGAAGGTGAAGATGAGAGGGTTCATGAAGGAGATGATGACCTTGGAGACAAGTTTATCAAGCTTCGGGACTTGATGAGCCTAGACAATACACTAGGCGTCACAAAAGGAGAGGGGCAAGTGGAGAGGAGCAAGTAGGAATATCTACTAATCTTTCTAAAAGAGTCAAAGGAGTAGCTTCAAAGAACAAGGGGAAAAGGGTTGAAGAAGTCGAGGCTTCAGAATATTCTAGTAATGAGGAGGAGGAATTAGTGGCAAATGCTAATTTCATACATTCAGATGGAGAAGAAGCTGATTAATTATGCAAACATTGATGAGGATGAAGAGGATTAAACAAAATAGTTTTAGGAATTGCCATTGTGTTTTGCTGTTTTTTAACATTGTTTTTTTTGTTTTGATGACTATTTAATCCTTTTGTTAGTTAGGAATTTATGTTTTATATATATATGTATTGTCCGCCATAGACCGCCATGGCAGTATGGCACTTAAAGGTCCTTGCTGCCATTCGTCGTATAACCTTCCTGATAACCTTGCTCCAGTGATTGCTGCACTGATTCTTGATGATTAGAGAGGTTCTTCTCATAGGAATCCATGCGAGTCTCAAGCTCCTTTGCGGTCACTATCGTCCCCCAGCAAAACTGATACCAATTGTAACAATTGAGAATAGATTGCCCAATTGTTACTACACTCACTCTTAGCTCTGAAGAGCAACAGAAGAAACACTTATATTTTTTTATTTATGAATCATCAGAATTTACACAAAGGTGTTTATTTATAACCCTTGATTCCCAATACAACTGTGTTTTTCCCTAGATAACCACTAACTTCTATCTTTAGAAGCTTGACCAACAATTTTGGAAACTAACAACTAACTATTTTTCTCAAAATAATAAGGAAACTAACTTTGTTAACAGGCCCCTAATTCCACTTATTACAAAATAGGACCTTTTCTTTCCACTTTTATGTTTTTTTTTTCCCATTCTTGTTGCTAAATATCTTTCCTGGGTGCAAAGGTTACCAGTAATTCAAGCTTTGGCCACAGAAGTTAGGCTGACTACCCAATCACTTCTTTCTCAGCTTCTACAGAAACTTCGCTCAAATATTCAGGTTTATGCAGTAATTATGTTTAATATATACAAAAATGTTTATGTAGTTTCTTATTACTGTATCTTCCTTTGCTAGTTACCTGAATGCCTCCGCATTATTGGATATTTACGGCGAATAGGAGTATTTAGTGAGTATGGAATGCGTTTGCTGGTGAGTTTTATTGAATTTTTTCCATATAATCGTTCTTTTCCCTTGTTGCTTGTCTTTTATTACTTTGATATTATCTGTTTAGTTGCAGCTCCTTGGTACTTTTTTTCTGGCTTCCATTTGACTCAGCAGTTTTTATTGTCAGTTCTTAAGATGCCGAGAGGCATGGCTTACTGGTATACTTGAGGATCTGGACCAGGCAAATCCGTATGAATACTTAAAAGGGATGATAAACTGTCACAGAATGCATCTTTTTGATGTTGTTAATCAATATCGAGCAATATTTGCCGACGATACATCAGGAAGTGAGGAAAATTATGATGGTGGCCTTCTTTTTAGTTGGGCAATGCACCAAATTACCTCACACTTACAAACTTTGAAAATTATGCTTCCAAAGATAACTGAAGGTGGATCACTGTCAAATATTTTGGATCAGTGCATGGTGAGCTTCTTCCATATATTCTGGTGGTTTTGAAATTGGAAGGTATCATGATATTTGTATAGGCTAAAAAAACATGTGATTCAGAAATGTGAACTACATAAATTTTGATGCTTATTAAATTTCTAGCAACTCTGCTCACTGTGATAAAATAGGTCAATGAAAAAAGAAAAACACTTGAGCGTTAAGACTTAAGATTGTCCTGCCTGCTAGTCCTGCATAGTATGGCAAAAATGCATTTGGATATATATGTTGATTGATACAGCAAGAAGAAATTACATTTAACATTATTTTATTGTATGTTTTTCAACAGTACTGTGCTATGGGACTTGGTTGGGTTGGACTTGATTTTCGAGGCTTGCTCCCATCACTTTTTGAAGAGTAAAACATGCTTCTTTTATGATCTCTTAGGCTAAATTTAATTTACAGCATTTTTTAAAAAATATATATGATGGTTTCTTTACAGAGCTGTTCTCAACTTATTCTCCAAAAATATGAGTACTGCAGTAGAGAATTTTCAGGTAAGTACAGTAAAGTTGAAATATTTTACATGCAAATTACTGACGTTGCTTTTATGCATTGATCATTTTCGTTTATATAAAACTCAACATCTGGGGACTTCTTTTTTCTCTTTTTTCTTTCTTTTCACCTACAAGTCACGTATATTTACGTAGTGATTATGAAATTGATTTGCTCTCAGTTGGTGTTGGATTCACATCGGTGGGTTCCCCTGCCAGCAGTTGGCTTTTCTTCAAACACTATTGGTGATGAAAGTCTCGAGGATATTACTCCACCCTCAAATTTGATGGAGCATCCACCTCTTGCCGTTTTTATTAATGGTGAGACTAGTAAATATTTTCTTCTAGATTTCTTTACGAAATTATTTGTCCATTATCCTGTGTATTTTACACATGACGGTGCACACACACATTAACTCATACTCTTACACATCGACTCATAATTGCACTTGTAAATATGAAACAAGTACAAAATGCAAACTCTAATGGTTGATGGGTCATGTTTTAAGAAGTTTCTTCAACGCAACTTCAATACGTGCTGTTAATCATGTGATGCCATGATGCTTTATAATGTATGCTTCATAGCATATTCCTTCTTCCTCTATTCTAAACCCTTTGTCGAGAAGAAGAGAAAACAATATACATGATTGAATTTGTGTGTCGATGTACTCAACGCAGTGTATTATTGTATAATGTGTGGGTAATAATTACATAGAAAAAAAATCCTAATTTCCATAATTATGTAAATCTTAGAATTGCCCGATTACCACAATTAAGATATTTAACTTCTAAAAGTATCCAACACCCTTTATCCATTTGCATTAATATCTACTCTTTGGTGGCTGCAGGTGTATCTGCAGCAATGAATGAGCTACGTCCATGTGCCCCAATAAGTCTAAAACATGTCCTTGCCCAAGAACTGATTAAAGGATTACGGACCGTTTCTGATTCGTTGTTGCTGTACAATACAACTCGGGTGCTAAGAACTAACGAGTCAGGACTTTTCCTCTCACTCTGCCGGGCATTTATCGAGGTATTTTGTAACTCCTATTCAATACAGCTTGATTTACTGTTTCTATTTTGAGCTGATTTGCAGGCGTCAATAAAATTACTCTTAACATTGATTAATTTCAATGTAATGAATGGTGTTATTGAAATTTGAACTTGTAACTTAATGCAAACTATTCAAGCACTTCACCACTAGTTCAATGCAAGTGGCTTTCTATAATCTGTAACACTAATTACCTTCAAATTCGTTTTATAGGTTGCTTACCCTCATTGTGCAACTTGTTTCGGGCGTTGCTATCCGGGTGGAGCAACTCTTGTTATGGATGCAAAGAATGTTTATGATGGAATCAGCCGCCTATTAGAAACCTCCTCTGCAAGAGAACTCCCAAAACCGGTGAACATTGGAGAATCGAAGAGCATAGCTGAGAATGGCGAGGTGCCAAAATTGGAAAATGGAGAAACATCTGATGCCAAAGAATCTGAAGCCATCAATGGTGATGAGGTGATTGAAGTCCCTACTACTTCGCAGACAGATCAGGAAGAAACTAATGTTGAGAAGCCGCTTGAAGAATGACATTTAGAGATGATCAAAGTTTTTATTTTTTATTTTTGATATTGAATCCTGTTTCAGTGTTTATATTTTGGTCCCGTTCGTAATATTCTTAGACGAGTGGCCTCAGCTGTAATTATATTATCGAATTACTTATGAATAGGGCGTAGAAAGCATTAATTGTTAGAAGACCAAAGAGAATTTTGGCAGATTACTTGTAGAGATCAGTTTTGATTTTCCAGGGATAATTTCTTCATATATTGCAGATATACATTGTACGTTCGAAGTGCCTCGATTCTCCTTTCGTTTTTCTAAGTGAGCCTCGTCGTGGCCCAACCATGGTACTCGCTGATAATCTACCATTAAAGAAACGTTCTATCTTCGGTGATTAAGATTGGCCTTTTTTTTCTTTTTTTTTTCTTCTTCTTTATATTGAATTCGGGAATGATAGCTTACGAATGGTTTTAGGAACTTATTACTCAACCTTTATCTCTAGTGAGCTGGACTTTTTTCCCCAGGGATGAACTTAATTTCTTTTAGCTAAAGTCTATATAGATTGTCTTTATAATTATGGGTCAATTAATAATCTTTATCGTAATATAACATTTTTTTGGGAATAATATAATATGAATTTAAACCTGTTAAGATGTGGCAAAACAGCTACATGCAAGTTGCGAACAAGGGTGCGCTCGGTAGGAGAAAAGATTTTTTATACCAAGAAATCTGATCATCTATTTAGTTGATCATGAATGTTTTTAAGAATATGTATACATGTCTTTTAGGAATCAAATATTTCTATGATTAGTTTTAATAAAACTTTCTTAGAAATTTTAATTATTTACTTGGTGGTAGATTTTGGTTTTAGTTTCGAATTATACTAAACCATTCGAGATTAACTCAAAAAGAATCTTTAACATAAAATTTTTAAGTTTTCAAAGAGATTGTGTAGGACTTTGTGACTTGGTTCTATTAGTTTTTTTGGATTATTTTAAACATTCCTTCAACAAAAGTGAAATTGATTATTTAATTGAAAGCTAAAGATTAGGACTTATTATCCAATTCAACAAGTATGAATACTTGTACATATATCATTGAATGACCAATAAATAATTATAATGATGTCAATTAAAGTTTCAAAATAAGTTTAAATTATAAAATAACAAGTATTTTTTGGGTTTTAAAGTTATAATTCAAATGAAAAGTAAAAGCAAAAAAGGAAAAAGAAAAGAAAAGAGGAGAAACAAGAGTTGTAAATTTAAAAGAAGAAAAATGAGAAATCGTAGTGCAAGTAAATTGCATAAATTGAAAAGAAGAGGGTGAGAAATGAAAAGAGTTTTTAGAAAGTAAGGATAATTAAATGAATTAAAATAAGTATAGAAATACATGTTGATCTTCGAACTAGTAGCTATTAAGTGTTTCTCGTGTTTTAGATGTGAATGTAAATGTGTAACTGTTTATAGGAATTTTGGAACTTTTGTCCGAAAGATAGATTTTGACAAAATTGAAATATTTAATATAATGTCTTGTCAAAATAAAATAAAGGTTCTGACACAAAATATGATAAACCATTGTCGATATAAAATGAAAGTAAAATTTTGGCTAATTATTTGATGAATATGTTCTACTTTGTATATCATAATACATAAATAATATAAATTAAAACATCTTACATAAAATAATAAGCTCAAATTCATATAGATAAAGATAATTATATTGTTAACTAGACTTAAAGGTATAAACAAAATTATAAAGGAATTAAAACTAAGCTCTCAAACTAAATAATATGAGGCAAATTCTAACTAGTACTAACTACACTTTGATGTCACATGTCCTATCAGAGCATAATTCATCATTAAGGACTAGGCCTCATCACCAACATCTTTAACATCATGTTGATGATCACCTACAGAAACACAAGATTAACAACACAAAAGAAAAGAGAGTGAGAAACATCTCACTCTGGCTCATGATGCAAGAATGCAAACTTGTTAGCCAAATACAAACAACATATACAATAATAATATATAGCATACACAGATAAACATTATAATCACATTTTTTCAGTCATGGCATAATGAACCAAAATAGATACATTATAATGCATTATAAAATGGACACATATTACACATTAGCATATATGTGGCCCTAGTAAAAACATCACACTTGTGGATTATTGATAGCAATACACTATACTAGTCTAAGAGTACATGTTGGGTCACACCTTATACGCACTTTCACTAGAAAAACATACTGTCAGGGTCTGGTCAGGATAACTAAGCCACATAAGATACATCACATGCTCATGAGGGTAAGACTAAGACTTTCAAATCAAGTTATTCCTAAGGTTGATTCCCAAGCTTTAACACAAGGGACCTTCCTCGGTGATGTATTCCATATCGTACCTTTAAAAAACATTTTTAAGAAACATTCACATGACTCTATAGTTTCACATTTCATGTATTCCTCATATCACATTACTCAACATTCATGTTTATATTTTCATATATAGACATCAATCTACATCCATATTAACATCTAAATACAAAAATTACAACATGAAATTTATAGAAAAACAATAGTAGATTTGCAAGCAGGATGGTGCCTAGTGGCACACGCCCCACGTTCGATGCAATACCTTTAGAGGACCACATTGGTCTCTGTTTGGATTACGCCCAATGTGACCGAGCTTATGCTCTACAAGAACACAATTGAGAACTCTCTAAAGTGTTCATGCCCAGCGTGAGTCAACTTACACCTAACGGAAGCATCATGGGAACCCCTAAAGCTTTTGTGCATGACAAGGGTCATCCCACGCCCAATGTGAGAGACCTCGAGAGCAAAGTTTGCTCTCGATCTTGAAGACCCCCAACACGTCACAAGTGACGCTCAATGTGATATCAGAAACAACACGAACATTATAAAATACAAAATTATGAGTCACACTTCAAGTCACCAAAACACAAAATTCAATCAGTAAACAAGCTCTATAGCATAATATTAAAATTCCATATTACTGAATTTTCATATACAACCAATATCTTTACACTACTATCAAAACAAGTTCCCTCAAGGTTTCCAATGGGTCGACACTTCTTGCCTACATCCACAAACACACTCTGCAAATTATTTTATTTCTCTCCACTTACAATTTTTACAAGGACAAAATTGCAAACCCTCTCATTCACAAGTTTTCTGGAAAAACTTGGAAACCGTGAGGGGCATCTCGAGGTTACGGATATAACTCATGATGACATGCTCTCTCAAGGAGAGTTTTTGGTTACCACTCTAACAGGTTTTTCATGTTAAATAACCATAATATTATTTTTTGGAGCATTAGAGGCATAATGAATGTGAAAGGAAAAAGAAAGGTTTGTGAGCTGGTTAAGTTGCACAAACCTTTTATTTTTATAGCGTTGAAAACCTATTGCCCGTTCTTGTTAGTTGCCTTATTTTTGAGCAATTTGAACTAAAAGTTGCATCATAGTGTGGAGGTCAAGGGCCATGCTGGTGGCATATGGATCCTAGTTGAGAAAGAAAGTCAAATATCGACATAAGTCTTTTTCTTTCCCTCAAGCATCTATAATTTTAATCAAGCAAAGTTGTAAGGAGTGAGTGTGTACAATTGTGTATGCAAGTCCTAGCTTTAATAAGAGAATAGAGGTGTGGGATCATGTCAAGAGTCTTAGAAGCCAGCAAGTGGTGCCTTGGATAGTATATACTAGGAGATTTCAACGACGTCATACCAGTTGGTTTAGGTTGTGAATGATTGTTCCTTGATAAACCTTGTCTCTAAAGGTCTTAGATATACCTAGTATCAAAGCAACTAGGTGTAGATGGTTAAAAGGCTTGATAGAGTGGTTTGCGACACATCATGATAGTCTCTCGTTCTAGAAGCTTTTGCAAAGGTTTTGTGTTGGGCTTATTTGGATCATTGCCCCATCCTTATGTGGTGTGGTGGTTTGAAAGATAAGTGAAGGGATCATCCATTCCATTTCCAAGCTTCATAGACCACCTTCTCAACCCCTTATGCATGGATCAAGAAGCTTGGATTAGGAGCACCCTACCTTTACTTACGAATTGATAGCTGTCAGTACTAATGCACTAGAGTTTAAAACTTGTGTGTTTGACAATATTACAACAACAAAAAAAACTATAGTGGTTCAGCTGGAGCTCGAGAAAAAGGAGTTTGAGAGCTTTTCTCAATTGGAAGGTACTCTCCAAGCTAAGTTGGATGAGGTTTTATTACAAAAAGAATTTTTGTTATTTCAATAGTTTAGAGAAATGAGGGTGAGGTTTGGTGATAGGAATATTAGCTATTTCCATGCTCAAACCTTTGCTCGAAGAAGAAGAAACAAGATTTAGGGCTTGTTTATATTGGATGGCATGTGGCATATATATTCGAATGTCCTTAGTAACGAAGCTTTTTGCTTCTATTAGGAGCTTTTCAGGTAGGAATCACATGGTGATTTTGTGGACATGCATCTTGGTGTTCCTCTGATTTTGGGAGAAGAGGCTATAACTACTTTTTTTGGCTCTGGTATCTAAAGAAAAGGTTAGAAAGGCTGTTATCAGCATAAAATCCTTTAAGGCGCTTGGGCTGACAGATTTCAACCCTTCTATTATAAACAATACTAACACATTGTGGGTGACAAACTTTGGAGGACAATGTGAGAAACATTTGCATGGCTTCTCAAATGGATATCTTTTTGAAACGTTAATCGTGCTCATCTAAAAGATAGACAACCTGTCTAACCTTCAAGACTTTTGCCTATCAATTTGTGTAATGTGGCGTATAAGGTTCTATCGAAAGTGATAGTGACATGATTGTGTCCTTACCTCCATGATATCATTAGACCTTTTCAAGGAAGTTTCATACCAAGGATATCTTCATTTTATATCAAAGGATAAAATTGCTACAAGAACTATGACATTGAAAATTGACCTTGAGAATGCATATGAAAAAGTGAGTTAGGATTTTCTTCAGGCTACCCTACATATAGATTTGGTTTTCCTGCTCATATCATCCAACTAATCATGTGGGGAGTTGAAAACTCTGAGCTGTCTTTGGAATGGAGGAAAGTTACAAACCTTTTAACCTTCTTAGGGTCTTAGGCAAGGGGATCCTCCCTCCTCGTATCTTTTTGTGCTCCGCATTGAGAGACTTGTTCTTTACATCCATGAGCTAAATAAAGAAGGGTCTTGGAAAGCTATTCAAATATCACGGGGAGGCCCACCTTTGTCTCATTTGTTGTTTGCGGATGATATTTTATTATTCTATCGTG